AAAGAATATCTCTTTGGATTTGAGACTTTAGTCTTTGCAACTTTAGGGATATTATCTATTCACGAACAGCTTGTAACACTCCAAAGAGAAAGGTAAACTTGAAATCACATCATATGACCCCTTTAATTATTCAGCTATTCAGCTTTGTATAAATCTCCCCCCAAAAATTTAAATTGCCCCTTATGACTGGTTTTGTGGCCCAGGGTCACATTTGTACATTTGTACAAAGATTGAAATCAAAAAGATGATCAGAGCTCATAAATGTGGAAACCTGGGCACGTTCACGCCTTTGAGAAAGTCAAACCTCGTCTCGCTAACGTCGCATTACGTCACTATAGGTAAGAGAATCAGTCAGCAGCATGAAGGATGTAGCAGATATAAACACTATTGAACTGTGCCTGCAGTCTCTTTTGCGGTTTCTCTCATCAAACTGTGGGCGTCTAAAAAGAAGTAGCGTGCTTAAGGATGAGAACGTCTCAATCAAAGAAGCAGGCATTTACTGCTGCCAGAGAAAATGAAATCTGAAATTCATTTTTCTAATTGGAATGGAAGGGGAGAGCATTATGTGATCTCGAGCGGCTCACCCACGCATGCAATCACAATCGCCTGATTTAATCTGCGGCCACAGTGAAAGCAGCACGAGCCACCTGTTTGTTTGATATGTCGATATCCTCTTCTAAGCCTGTGATTGAACTGTTGGCAACAGACAGATAGGCTATGTTTAACACATAAGTGCATTGCTGTAAGAGCTATACCTTTTGTGTATTTCTTTTAAACATGCATCCAAATTAATGTGTTTATTAAAATATACAAGCATGAGCAAATTGGTTGGTGTTATTTTGTGAAAGGTGCCTGTGCTCCACATATTCAGCTCAGCAGATGCTCTACAGAGAATGTTCAACAGAAAACCGGTGGTCACAAGAGAGACCCAATGATAGAAACACTTCAACCGTGGTGCCCTCACAAAATGTGTGTGAGGGACAGATATCAGAGAAGATGATGAATGTGAAAAGTCAGTGAATGGCTTTTCATTTTCATCATCTTTGCTGATCTTTCAGATATAGAATGGGGAAAAGAAGGTCTGGAATTTAAAGTATGAGTTGGAGGGAGAAACTATAAATATTTTGCAAAGCAGAAAAGAACTGACAAGTATATGAGCAGAAGCTAGTGATGTTTACATGCTTATTATGCTGCTTTTCTTTCTTTTTATTTTGTTTCTCATACACTATACCTATTGCGGCATCCAAAAGTCTCAGACTGCTAGTGAAAATGCATCTATTGTCTATTCTTTTCTAGTTTAATATTTTTATTTGCAAATCATGTTATTAGGATAAAAGTTGATTTGAGTTGGATTGAAAAATTAACAACCACACGGATACGTTGTTTTCGTTCAAATCAAAGCACAACCAACATAGAAAATGTATCTGTTATCATAAAAAACATATGTCTGCATTTGTGATCGGAGAACAGCCAGCATTGTAGTCTACTCTACCAGGATCAGGAAACAGTCCTCCATAAAATGCGCTGCACACATCTGAATATTTGGGTTGAACTGTTCTGGAACAGTGTTGTAAATACAACTTAACCACTGATTTCTAGTAGTGTCCTCTTTTGGAAGGCCAAACAAAGTATTTTCGCTTTCGCAACAAAACACACAGCGTCTTCACAACATGGCGGCGGCGGTGGCAGCAACAATAAAGTTATGCCTTCTTTCTTTGCGTGAACATTTTGGCGGCATTATACAAATCTTCCCACATCGTGACATAGACATGTGCGTGTTTAAACAAGACGTTTTAGGAGGGCGTGGACGAGTTAACTTTTATAAAGAATATCTCTTTGGATTTGAGACTTTAGTCTTTGCAACTTTAGGGATATTATCTATTCACGAACAGCTTGTAACACTCCAAAGAGAAAGGTAAACTTGAAATCACATCATATGACCCCTTTAATTATTCAGCTTTCCAATTATGTATAAATCTCCCCCCAAAAATTTAAATTGACCCTTATGACTGGTTTTGTGGCCCAGGGTCACATTTGTACATAAACGAAAAGATTGAAATCAAAAAGATGATCAGAGCTCATAAATGTGGAAACCTGGGCACGTTCACGCCTTTGAGAAAGTCAAACCTCGTCTCGCTAACGTCGCATTACGTCACTATAGGTAAGAGAATCAGTCAGCAGCATGAAGGATGTAGCAGATATAAACACTATTGAACTGTGCCTGCAGTCTCTTTTGCGGTTTCTCTCATCAAACTGTGGGCGTCTAAAAAGAAGTAGCGTGCTTAAGGATGAGAACGTCTCAATCAAAGAAGCAGGCATTTACTGCTGCCAGAGAAAATGAAATCTGAAATTCATTTTTCTAATTGGAATGGAAGGGGAGAGCATTATGTGATCTCGAGCGGCTCACCCACGCATGCAATCACAATCGCCTGATTTAATCTGCGGCCACAGTGAAAGCAGCACGAGCCACCTGTTTGTTTGATATGTCGATATCCTCTTCTAAGCCTGTGATTGAACTGTTGGCAACAGACAGATAGGCTATGTTTAACACATAAGTGCATTGCTGTAAGAGCTATACCTTTTGTGTATTTCTTTTAAACATGCATCCAAATTAATGTGTTTATTAAAATATACAAGCATGAGCAAATTGGTTGGTGTTATTTTGTGAAAGGTGCCTGTGCTCCACATATTCAGCTCAGCAGATGCTCTACAGAGAATGTTCAACAGAAAACCGGTGGTCACAAGAGAGACCCAATGATAGAAACACTTCAACCGTGGTGCCCTCACAAAATGTGTGTGAGGGACAGATATCAGAGAAGATGATGAATGTGAAAAGTCAGTGAATGGCTTTTCATTTTCATCATCTTTGCTGATCTTTCAGATATAGAATGGGGAAAAGAAGGTCTGGAATTTAAAGTATGAGTTGGAGGGAGAAACTATAAATATTTTGCAAAGCAGAAAAGAACTGACAAGTATATGAGCAGAAGCTAGTGATGTTTACATGCTTATTATGCTGCTTTTCTTTCTTTTTATTTTGTTTCTCATACACTATACCTATTGCGGCATCCAAAAGTCTCAGACTGCTAGTGAAAATGCATCTATTGTCTATTCTTTTCTAGTTTAATATTTTTATTTGCAAATCATGTTATTAGGATAAAAGTTGATTTGAGTTGGATTGAAAAATTAACAGGAGTTGAAAATGGCAGAATTTCTTAGTATTTTGTTTTTGCTTTTGCTTTAATGACAAAAGCTCTCGATCTAAACCTCTTCTTCAATGGGAACATTGAAATTTGCTCTTTTGTACAAAGGAGTTCACATAGTCAGTGTCAGAATTTATCTTGTTTGATTGGTGATCTAAAAATCATGCAAAACCTCATAATTTTGAATTTCATATAATTTGTCATAACTTCTTTCTTGGTTTAATGTTTTTGACAATTATTTTAGTGTATGTCAGACTTTAGGACTCCTCTGTACATTTTCAATTGTGGTACAGTAAATTAAACATAAATGAAACCTTTTAAAAACATTGTGCTTGATTTTTCTGTGTACATTTCAAAGTCATATTGGTGCAATTTGTATTTAAATGTGGAAAAAATATCTGGAGCAAAACACAGTTTGGCATGTAACGGTGTGAAATATTTGTTTTTAATTATGCATGCCAATATTCTGTGCTTTTTGCCAGTTCTCTGAACATTTGAATATGAAAATCTGTCTTAGAATTTGTGCATACAAAAAAAGTGGGGAAAAAATAACTTATAAATAAAAAATACAAAATAAATACACTGTCTTGTTATTCAGTACTTAATTACTTAATTCTACACTTGTATGTTTCCCTGTAGTTTGGAAGGTCGTCCTGAATCAAGAAGAGCAGCTGTAGACACCAGCAGCTGGATTTCACTACCATCCTAATGCACAGCACCCTCTCAGACTGACGGGTTTTCACTGGCAGCAAACTGGCAGAGAGAAAGAGAGCTCACACAGGTGGGCCAGCAGCAGCATCCCAGAGATTATAGATTTGGAGATTACAGGACAACAGCAGGTCAGGGCACACTGCCTTGTTGAAATCCGAGTTCTCCACCTCACCAATTCCATTAAGAGCTGTCATCGTGAAATTGGCAAGCAAGCCCTGCGACACAACACATTCACATGCACTCGGCTGATCACGTACTCCACTAGCTGCTAGACAGATGCAGTGTTAGAAGAAAATTGGATGCTGTTTTTGTTTGCCTTTTTCTTTAATCCAGCTCCTTGCCGCTCAAATCCCTTTTTGTGCTTGAGCTGTTAGATTCTTTCAATCATCTTTGTTGCTTATTTTTATTTGGTTAATTTTTATTATCCACTGACCTGGAGAGAGTCAAAGTGCTCAAATTATCAAACCATGATGGCAGAATATCCTAAAGTGCTTATCTAGACTGGAATGTTCAAACCACACAGTTAGGAAGGGAAACTGTTGGAACCAGAGGTTCCTCATATTTGAATCTTCAAGCTGCTTTCATTGAAGACACCATAAAGACCAAGGGACAAACGCAGTGGCATGTCTCCACACTTAAAGTAACTCACAGGATACGCAACTACCGCTACATGAATGAGACTGAAAGAATTTGAAGAGTGTTGTAGAATGTAAAGCTATTCAAGATGTCTGCAAAAGAGCTTCATTACAAGACTGGGAGAAAACTCCACCCATTTCCACCTCTGGTTGCGAAGTTCGACAAGGTGGCTCGCTAGACAGAGCGTACGGCTACGGACAAACTGGATTACAGTGACAAACTTGGACTCATAGAGGACTGTAATAGAACAGACACGGTTGACAGCCTAGCTTGTCTGGCACTGAGATGTCAAAACCACAGAGGGGGCTATTCCTCCAACTGTCACTGCAAGGAGAATAGAGCCGATCACACACACGCCTACTAGCAGACTGATTTTTAGAGCCGAAAGACTGGTGTGTGTTTGAACCGTGGCAGTATAGACAGTTCAAAAGTGTGAAAGAAAGAGCTGGAGGAGATCCCATAGTGTAGGGGGAAGAGAGCGAAAATAAAGAGCGGTAAAAGTCTCCACGGCAGCGGTGACACATTGAAAGAGAAGACTGTGACAGACTGGAGATCATCGGTGGCAGTTCACAGGCGCACAGTTTTGTGAGATTCACACACTTTTGGGATTAAAGCCTGTGTCGCTCAGTACACCGAGTAGTACTGAGTCCAGTTTGGTCACGGTGGCAGGGGCCGGTTCATGGCAGTGGGGCGGACGCATGCCGTCTGTGCCTCCACAGCGAGAGGGACGCTTCGGCTTGGGATGGGGTTGGGGTTGGGCTGCATGGGCGCGGGCTCAGAGGGCGGGCGAGCTGAGACCCTGTGTGCCCGCTGGAGTCGGACCTGCGGCGGCAGGGGAACGTGGGGGCATGAGATGCTCCCTTCGCTTCTGCGTGGTCTTGGGATCCCTGGCCCTCCTGTTCCTCACGTCGCTCTTCTTCTCCTTCTCACTGAGAGGAGGAGTCGGCTTGCCTTACTTGGAACCCCCGGGATGGGAAGAGTCACGTAGGGTTAAGCTAGTGCCCAGCTACGCCGGTTCCCACCGGGTCATCCCGGCCGAGAGCTCCCAGCAGAAGACATGTGCCTGCTCTCGGTGCGTGGGTGACCCAGGCGTTTCCGACTGGTTCGACGAGAACTATGACCCGGATATCTCGCCTGTGTGGATTCGGGACAACATTCAGCTGCCTTCAGACGTGTACTACTGGTGGGTGGTAAGTGATCTTATTGTTACTCGCTGCTGCTTTTAGATTTAGAAACCCTTTCAGTTGATGTGGTTAGACTTGCTTTCTACATGCTTTCGACCTCATGCGTTAACTAAATGGAAAAACTAAATTAAATGGCTGCAAAACTGTTGCACGGGAACTCGCACAGTCCTTAATTAAAAGAGACCTAATTTTGTTGTGCTTCTCTCCTTTAAATGAGAGAGGTTAGCAATCTGAAATTGTGCTTATGCATCATGTTTAAGCGACAGGAAGCAAAGAGGCCGTTTTTATTAAAAAGAACATGAGTAATGTCTGAAAAAAAAGTGTGTCAGCTGAAAAGTATAAGTCTGTAATACTTGCTCAGAGTGAATTAAAAGCAGGGCGGGTGCCGGAGTGCATTAAGCAAAAGAAGCAGAAAGATTTTGGGATGAAGGTTGGGAACATGCTTGCACTTATGGAAACGACTGAATTTGACATTTTCTGAAGAAAATGTAAGTGGTGCTGTTAGAATGCTGGGGTGTTCTAGGCAATTGCTAAGATGCTTGATTATTGGTCCAAAAAAAAGCCAGAAAGAAAAACAAAAATGAAAGTAATTGTTTTGGCAATGTTGGACTCATTGGACATTCATTTCAGAGTATAATGGGCGTAATTACTCAAAACTAATTATGTAATTTGTTTTGTTATGAAACTTCTGTTGGACTGATGAAATTCATCTGTGTGGAATTTTTGAATTGCAATGAATTAAATTCCTCTTCCTTTTATTCAAATTCCAATTCAGCATCCTGTGGGCTGTAACAAGTTCAAATCAAATTTAAATTTAATCAAGTCAGGAATTTAAATTGAGATTTTTGCCCAAAACTGCTATATATAAAGATGCATATATAAATTTGTTTTGTTTTGTTTTTTAAAGAAAGCTGTTTATTTGATCAAAAATTCATTAAAAACCACAATATGTTGAAATATTATTACAATTAACAAAAACTTGTTTCTATTTCAAAATGTAATTTATTCCTGTAATGGCAAAGCTGAGTTTCCAGCAGCCATTATTCCAGACATCAGTACCACACGATCCTTCATTATACAGTTGTTTCTAAATATTTTTGTAAAAACCACAATTTAAGTATTCACTAATGAATAAAAGTTTTAAAGAATTTATTTGAAAAATTTATTTTTATAACAATGTGATTGTCTTGTGATCCATTTAAAGCACCCTTAACCCTCTTAAAAATAAAGGTGCTTCAAAAGGTTCTGCACAGCGATGCCATAGAAGAACCATTTTTGGTTCCACAAAGAACCATTCAGTAAAAGGTTATTTAAAGAACCATCTCTTTCTTACCTTTTTGTAATCTGAACAACCTTCTTTCACCACAAAGAACCTTTTGTGAAACAGAAAGGTTCTTCAGATGTTAAAGGTTCTTTATGGAACCATTTAGACAAAAAGGTTCTTCTATGGCATCGTGAAGCACCTTTATTTTTAAGAGTGTTGCTGAATAAATGTATAGAAATCTAAAACATTAAACAAATCTTACTGATCCTAAACCTTTGAATGGTAGTGCATAACTTTCTGTTGATGACAGAATCTTGTATTAAATACAATGGCTCCTGTTATTTGGACGGGCACAGAGTAAATTTGGTGGCTGGCATCTGTACCCGGAAAACATCTGCCAAGAATTATTAGGTCCAGTGGAGACCTGGTAAACTGCCAGTTATTGGCAGCAGGGACCATGAGGAGAAGAAAGGAGGGAGAGAAAACATGGAAAGATAGAGAAGGGGGTTGGTTGGAAGGAAGCCATGTCATGGAGGGATGTCAGAAAAATACAAAAGGAAAGATTTTAAGTCTGGTCTTGGTTTTCAGAACGTGTTTTTGTTGGATCTTTTTTTCTATTCATCACAGCAGAGGGCTTCAGTGGCTAATTGGCTGCCTGGATATTTATTTTAGTATGCATGTGTGCACAGGCAGGTGTGCAGATGGTTTGAAGTTAAAAGATAACTGCCTAACCTTATGTTAGTTTCTTTATTTCGCTCTCTTCCTCCCTCTCTTCTCTTCCCTCTGGGCCTTGTACAGATGTTGCAGCCTCAATTCAAACCCCACAACATCCAGCAAGTTCTACAGAGGCTGTTCCAGGTCATTCCAGGCCATTCCCCGTACGGTTCGTGGGACCCTGCCCGCTGTCTGCGCTGTGCTGTGGTGGGGAATTCAGGAAACCTCCGTGGGGCAGGTTACGGTCCGGTGATTGATGGCCACGACTTCATCATGAGGTGAGTCTTGAAATGTCACCATGTAAAGAAGTAGGGAAAGAAAACAGTCTTTCGAACTGCGTATCATTATATATGCGTATCGTATATTGGTGCCCTGGAATTCAGAATGAGTTTGTCTAGCTCGGTTATGATTTTGGATTTTCAAAGTTGTTTTTAATTGAACACTATTATTTAGGGTTTTTTTCACAACTAACTTGTAGTTTTAGTTTTAGTTTTTTTTTGTGCAGTGTTTTTCCGTTTAGGTTTTATTTTGTGGGCATTTTTTAATAATTAGAATTAAAGGTGATTTCTGTACTTGGCAAAAAATAATGACTTTTCAAACAGGTTTCCTTAAAGGGGTCATATGATGCTATTTTAAAGATCATTATTTTGTGTATTTGGTGTAACAGAATATGCTGACATGCTTTAATGTTCAAAAACACATTATTTTTCAAATACTGTACATTATTGTAGGTCCTCTATGCCCCGCCTCTCTCAAACACGTAGTTTTCAACAAAGCCCCCTCCTTTGACAAGCGCAGTCTGCTCTGATTGGCCAGCTGACTCAGTGCATTGTGATTGGCCGAACACCACAAGCGCGTGTCGGAAATGTAACGCCCCTTACCATAATCGCAGCTTCAGCTTTCAAAGTAAATATCAAGACAGTTAATAATGTCGTTAGTTTTACCATCAGTTCAAGCCCGAAAGGGCAACAGAGTGGCGTGACAGACACAGTGATGATGCAGTACACAAGCCGCGGTTAAGACAGCTGACGTGCTATGATTTCTGACAGACAGTTCACTCTCCTGTGATGTGACCCTATTCCCCTCACACAAACACGACGCATTACTCTGCGCTGTGCAAAACTCCGCATTTGAACAGTCAATAGCAAATACTTAAACTGATAACAAAACATACTTACAGTCGCTGATTCAGAAGCGCCACATTGTCATAGCAAAGTCGGAATTTACCCTTTTTTTTTAAAATAGCCTTTGTGCACAGCCAGCCTTGTACTCTTCCAGGTTCAAAAAAACCGTTGTCCATAAAATGCGTTGCACAAATTCGAACATCTGGGTTGTGCTGTTCTGTTGTAAATAAATCTTAACCAATGATTCCTAATTGCATCTACTTCCGGAGGGCCAAATAAAGTGCTTTTGCTTTCGCACTGAAACACAGCGTCTCACTGACATGGCTGCATCAACACTACTGCTGTTCCTGAAACCACGCCTTCTTTCTTTGCGTGCACATTTGGTCGGCATTATGCTAATATTTCCACATAGTGACGTAGACATGTGGGGGCGTGTTAGAACGAGGCGTTTTAGGTAGGCGTGGTTGACTCTTAACTTTTATAAAGAATATCTCTTTGGATTTGAGACTTTAGTCTTTGCAACTTTACAGATCTTCTTTATGCACCAAGAGCTTGTAACACTCCAAAGAGAAAGGAAAACTTGAAATCGCATCATATGACCCCTTCCATAACACTTCCATAATCATCTTCCATTGGTTGAACAACTGAATAGCCCTGCCCCAAACTGGTAGGATACTCAAACAAATAAAAAATTCTAGTGTAAGCACATATCCACAGTGTTTAAATTTTTTAGGGAACATAATCATAGAAATAGACTACTAGATGCTATAGTAGATTTATTATAAATCGTAATTTAACACTGAAAAAATACATACTTCACCTTTTAAAGTACCCCTATTATGCAATTTTTAAGGTTGCTACTATTGTTTTATGAGTCTGCTAAAACATGTTTACATGCATGCAAGGTCAAAAAAACAGTTAGTTTTCTCAAAAAATATATTTAATTTGACCTCATTTCTAAATGATTCGTAAACGACTCGTGCGAAGCAGTTCAAATAATCAGTCTCTCTAAACCCCTGCTTTCCGTGAGCCCTCACTGCTGTGATTGGTCAGATGGCGCAATCCTTTGTGATTGGTCCAGAGCCATAGAGAGATTGGCTCTGGATTGGTCTACCGTGTACACCACGTGTCGGAAACGAAACGCCCATTGCCATGACCGTCATGGCAATGGGTGTTTCGTTTCCGACACGTGCTGTGCGCGGTAGACCAATTCAGAAATTTTTTTTTAGGGAACATAATCATAGAAATAGACTACTAGCTGCTATAGGAGATTTATTATAAGTAGTAATTTAACACTGAAAAAATACATACTTCACCTTTTAAGGAATCAGTTGGTCAACCAACAGAACAGCTAACACCCTAAAAAAGGAAGCCTTTGATAAAAGCCACATTTATCCATATCAATATATTTATAGTTTTATTTAGCTTATGAAAATGTTTTTAAATCAGCGGTTTTAGTGTGCAATAATAGCTCTGTTTTCTGGGACACTGTTCACAGTCAGATATGGTGGATTGACATTTGCAATTGCGGGTTTCAGTTGAATGAACATGGAAAAGGGCAGAATGTGCGTATTGCCGCTTAAAGAAAAGAGTAAAATAATGGCCTGGGGGAGACGTTGAAGAACAGCGTATGTTTAGTAGAGATCAGAGAGACGGAGCGGCTGAAAGAGATGGAGGTATAAATTGAGGTGCTATTTCAGTCAAGTCTTTATTGATTCAGCTCTGAAATCTTAAATTAATCCTGTCCTCCTCCGTATCCATCTCTTTCTTCTGCCCCACAGCAGCTGTCTCCTCATCACTTTATTTGTTTAACTGCTGTCTGCTTTCATTTTGACACAGTTTAAGAGATGGTTTGAGCTTTCTGCCTGTCAAATGAGTTTGCTGTTGCTGTTTATTGGCTCATATAAGTTTTCCATTGGCTAAAACGATTATTATAAGTAAACAGTATATTGCTTGAAATCAGTTAGCATCCTTGTGCTATACCCACTGCCTTGTGTTTCATGTATATATTGCATACTGGTGTGAATTTTTAGTGAGAATAATATTTTATTTTTATTATGTTATTTATTTATTTATTTTATTTTTTATTGGAGTTTATTTTTAAAAACCAGTGCTAAGCACCAACTACTACTAAACACTACAACAGAGCTGTAGAATAACAAACCCTTCTTGCACTTCCGATAAAAATACAATTTATTGTAAATGAGTATTGTGGTTTCCAGTTTAAGCCTTGCTCTTTGGCCTTTTGTTTATTAGAGTGATGATATAAGAAGAAAACGCTTGAGATTTGATTGGTAAAACGTCTCACTGGCTTTGAGAAAAGCTTTGAGTCTTAAGAAGATAAAGAAAGTATGTACATTTGTTGTTTTGCATTAAAATCTCTAGGACTATTACATCTAAAGTTTTTTAAATCCTGCTGCCTGAATACAAGCTTGAGATTCTATGCGTTGCAAAACCTTGGTGATGTAAGGTAGTTCTCTGAATTTGAGTGAGTACATGTAGAATACAGATTGAATGAGAAAGTGAGGCAGGGTTTTTTTTTTTCTAATCAGAGCATTTTGTCGAGAGGACATGAGCTGTGAAATGGAAGCTCTGACATCCATCGGGGAAACAGACGTGTCTCCTGAATAGACACCGACCCTGTCTGCGTTTCTGTCTGATCCACACCCTCTTTCCATCATCTTGCTTGTCACTTGCAGTCTGTCGCTCTTAAAGGAATAGCTCACCCAAAAACAAAAATCGTGTCTTTTATTTATCCTCATGTCATTCCAAAACCTTAAGATGTTTTTTCTGTGGAACACAAAGGAGAATTTTGAATAATTCCCTGGTTATTATTTTCTGTACAATTACAATGGATGGCAACATTTCTCGCTGGCTGCTTTTTTAGCCGCTTTTTTGCTGTCAACCTGAATGCACTTTCTGTTTGTTCACTTTACTCCGTCATGGGGAAAATAATGAAATGCCAAAGTAATAGGGCTTGAGCGAAAGTGAGGGAGCGTAATTCAATTGGATCTCTGTGTTCCAGGATGAACCTGGCTCCCACTGTAGGGTACGAAGAGGATGCCGGCAGCCGTACCACACACCACTTCATGTACCCAGAGAGTGCCAAAAACCTGGCGGCCAACGTTAGCTTTGTGCTGGTGCCCTTCAAGACTCTCGACCTGTTGTGGATCACCAGTGCCCTCTCCACTGGCCAGATCCGCTTGTGAGAACAATAACACACACACAATTTTAGGGAAAAAAGCTAGATAGCTGCATTCTTTTTTTATTTTAATCTTTTATTTGATGTTTTTATATAAATCATATTTATTTGTATTTTAAATTATTTTATTATTTATTTTAACCACAAATCTCTGTAAATTTACTTAATTCTGTCTGTAAATGAATAAATGAACTATTCAGTTTAGTTTTCAGACACTAGATTTAATTCAAGTTTGGTTGTCGAAATCCTGAATTAAATTTTTTTTTTCATTATGTTGTATATTTTTATTTTAAATGTTTGTTCTCTTTTCTCATTTTCTAATTTTTTAAACCACAGTCTATCATTTTCTATCGCTCTAAAAAAATAGATTGTGACATCCCATCAGTAAATTAGTTGTTCAGTTCAGTTACAGTAAGTTTAATGAAACTATAAGTGAGTTTAATTTGGTTGTTAGAATCTTGAATTTTGATTAGTATTTTTTATTTATTTAAATCTTTCATTTAAAATAAATAAATAAATAAATACATTTTATGTAGGAGGTTTCATACAGTTTCTTCTTTTAACCACAATCAAAAAAATTGGAAATCCTGAAATCCTGCACATCACTTGAACGTGCTTAGTAAATAACTTTAATATGCAACAGGAAGATCTGTTGACCAAATTTTGTCATATTAAAGTTATTTACTTACTAAGCAAGTTTGAGAGGCGTGTGGGATTATTCCAATTTATTTGTGCGATATATTTAAAAGATACACATAGTACCTCCTCCTGATAGAGTGTGACATCCCATTAATAAATTAGTTGTTCATTTTAGCTTTCAGTCACTATGTGAATTTAATGAAATTTTGGTTGTCAGTCCCTGAATTTTGAGTCGTAGCTATAGTAGCTGCAGTGTGGCCAATGAGACATTCATATATTCTGTCTGTGAACACACTGCAGTGTTCTGTACTCAGAAATGCATCATTCAAATCACACACACACCGCCACACATCACAGCGCTTCATCAACAACATTCTCTACTTCACTGAAAAACACCAGAAAGTTAGCACTTAGCAGCAGTTCTGCTCACTGTTTTTTTTATGAAAAGATGAAGAGATGCCAGAAGTGGGAAGACTTATAACTTTATCTTTCCAAATCTCTCAGCACTTATGCTCCAGTGAAGCAGTTTCTGCGTGTGGATAAAGACAAGGTAATATATTCCCATCCTGTCTCTCACAGATTTATCTTCTCTGAATTAAGACACTCTTTAGACCCTGAACAATAGAGCACTAGCAATCTCACATTCAGTCTTTGTTTTCTCTTCTCTGCTATAAATCTGCATACGTATCAAATAATGTCCTGTAGGTTCAGATCTTCAACCCAGCTTTCTTTAAATACATCCATGACCGCTGGACACGTCATCATGGCCGCTATCCCTCCACTGGCATGCTTGTGCTGTTCTTCGCTCTACACGTATGTGATGAGGTGAGATTTTAGGGTATATAATAATGCATATAATTCATACATGACGTTGTAAATTTTTTTCTTGAAATGTGTTCTTGTATCATACTATATTATAAAATATAGCAGTTTTCTAGTGTAATAAGTCATTTATTCCTGTGATGGCAGTGACACAGATACATTTTCAGCAGTTATTACTTTAGTCTTCAGTGTCACATGATCCTGCAGAAATCAGTTTAATATGCTGATTTGGTGCTCAAGAAACATTGCTTATTATCGAAGTTCCAAACAGTTCTGCTGCTTAATATTTTTTGTGGAAATGGTGATACATTTTTCTACAGGATTGTTTGATGAATAGAAACTTTTTTTAGAAATAGAAACAACGTGAAAGTCTCTACTGTCACTTGGGATCAATTTTATGTGTCCTTGCTGAATAAAAGTATTAATTTCTTACTGACTAAAAACTTACTTACTGACCTAATCTTTTGATCTTTAGTGTGAACTACTTACATTTATATTATAAATAATATATAAAGAATATGTGTGTATATAGCTTTTGTTTATAATGTTTAAAAAAAAAGCTTTTAGCTTTTTATATGTAAAAAAAATACTAATTTTAAATGTTACATTTTATTTACATTTTAAAGCTCTGACAGTGACTTCATTTCTGCGTCTTTCTCCATAGGTGAATGTATTTGGTTTTGGGGCGGACAGCAGGGGAAACTGGCACCACTATTGGGAGCAGAAAGTTCCAAACAGTTCTGCTGCTTAATATTTTTTGTGGAAATGGTGATACATTTTTCTACAGGATTGTTTGATGAATAGAAACTTTTATTAGAAATAGAAACAACGTGAAAGTCTCTACTGTCACTTGGGATCAATTTTATGTGTCCTTGCTGAATAAAAGTATTAATTTCTTACTGACTAAAACTTACTTACTGACCTAATCTTTTGATCTTTAGTGTGAACTACTTACATTTATATTATAAATAATATATAAAGAATATGTGTGTATATAGCTTTTGTTTATAATGTTTAAAAAAAAAGCTTTTAGCTTTTTATATGTAAAAAAAATACTAATTTTAAATGTTACATTTTATTTACATTTTAAAGCTCTGACAGTGACTTCATTTCTGCGTCTTTCTCCATAGGTGAATGTATTTGGTTTTGGGGCGGACAGCAGGGGAAACTGGCACCACTATTGGGAGCAGAACCGCTATTCTGGAGAGTTTCGTAAAACAGGTGTCCATGATGCAGACTATGAGGCCCAGATCATTGACAAGCTGGCCAAAGCTGACAAGATCTCTGTCTTTCCTGGAAAGTGAATCTGGGCACCAGGTGCAAAGAAATGGACCGACTGATGGACTACCATAAACAAAACCACCTATTATCCACTTGACACACTTAGTGTGCCTGTTAAACGTGATCAAGAAGTAATTTTTCATGATCTTATTACCATTCTATGCTGTCCCGAATGGACAGGATTCTGGGCAGCAACCCTCATGATGTGGTGGTTTTGAGAGGAGACACTAGTTCTAAATATACTAATGTGCTTTTCCTTGCAAGCCTACCTAAACTAGGACAACTTGACTTGGAACTTGACTTTGCAAGGAACACTAATATCTCACCACTAAACAGCATGTTAGGTATATGTGCTGGGAATGGATTTGGCTTATATTTATGACTTTTGTTGAATAGTGATGATGCGGGAACACTTATCTCATGCCGAGGCCAGGTAGATGAGTGAGACCAACAATCATCATAGTGTATCATAGTACTCTAGTAGTTCTCTGTTGATTCGTTAAAGAGATAGTTGACCCTAAAAATGATCATTTACTCCACCTCATGTCATTCCAATCCTGCATGATTTACTGTCTTCTACATTCAGATATTTTGAAGAATGTTTGAACTGTTTATGTCAATGAAGTCAATGGGTCCAAAGTAGTTTTTGCTACATTACCTTGACAGAATACAGGTTTGGAATGAAATTAAGTTGAGTAAATGACACAATTTTAATTTTTGGGTGAACTTTCCCTTTAACTGAAAGCTTGGATAGTGGCTGGTTGTTTCACTAGTGTTATAGCACTGCAGTTATACTCCTCACGTCACCAGACGCATGTGGCTGAGTGGACTTCCAAGTTCATGCTGTTAAACCAAGCTTTATTTTGTCTTATGAGATATTTTATGTTTCGTTGTTCGTGTTTGAAATGATCATGCTAACAGTTTGTGATCACTGTGTGCGCACAGCAGTCTGAACAACCTTGTTTTTTTGGTTCGTTCATTTTTGCTAATTACGTTTGAGTACTGATCGTTCCTCTGGTCTGAGAAAGATGGACCGATACTCAACACCAGGAGCTAAAACCACCGACGCAGTCCAATATGAACACATATGAGCAATATATTAAGTACATGTGGAGTATGTTTAGAAACCAACGCTACTAAAGGTGTGGTGCTAGTTCTAGAGATGCACTGTGAACAGTGGTAGAGCTTCTTTGTTGATCTTCAGCACACTACTAAATTTAACGTAATAGTGTTATATAATGGAAAACGACAGACAAAAAGTATTCGATTGTGAGATACCGAATATAAGCTTTCATTTATGAAGCCTGATGTATTGCGATACAATTTATGACTAGCTGACAGACAGATCTTGAAGTTCTGGTGGAATTCATTGATAAGTGTTTTCTTGAAGTCATGTAGACACTCCTTTGCAGCTGTTCAGTCATTTACCATCAACAATAGGTGATTTTTTTTATATTTATTGTAAAATTTGTATAGTTTTCCTTGCATAATTTATTACATTATAAATGTTTTAGACCATACGAAGGATAAGCAGAAAGATCCGCTTGAACGACAAGTGCTTTCTACGGAGCCCCTAAAAGGTGGGGTAAGCGATTTCTGGTAGTCAATGTTGACATTTGAAATCACCAAAACAAACACGCCCCTACCCCAAAAGGGTCTCGCCCCTATTTTGATAGCTCCGCCCCACACATACGTACGCAACCCAGGCAACGATTAGTTCTGTGAAACAAAGCAAAACCAATGCTACACTGTGTCTACACCGGACAAGAGCGGCGCGGCGCGGCGCGGCGCGGCACAATACTATGGAACTCATTATAATCAGTGATGCTGTCTACACCATAGATATATATACATATATATGGTCTACACTGGAATGCTGCGCAGCACGACACGACAAATCCCTACTGCTGTGCTCTATTCATGACGTATTGACACAAATTTCAAATGATTTTCAACAGACTCTTTGCCATGTCTGGTGTACTAGACAGACTTTAGCTGTTGTGGTGCAGACACTGTGTTACTCACCTATCGAGAAGAAACAAAGCATCCGATTGCAGGCCTTCCGATCCTTGAGTTCTCTCCAGCGCTGGTAAACTGATCCGATATTTACATGGGTCCTCCTTATTGCCTTAAGCCTTCTTTTGTTCCGCAGACGTTTTCCTCTTCTGTTTTTTATCCGCCATCTCTATCTTTCTGTCGCTCGGCTCGCTAATGTCCGTCCTGTGCACTGAACGCTCTCTCCTCCACATCATGAGTAGACACGCCCCTTACTGCTGATTGGCTACAAGTTTGTTTTGCTAGTCGGCCATATTGAGATGCGCAGTTGGTCACCAAAGAGTTTTATTCCATTACTAATCCTCTTGTTTTTGTTGTTCGATGTTTATGTATTGTGCAGAAAATATGGATTAAGGAAAATAAATTGGCTTGTGATGTTCTTGTATTACTCTTAACAGTATTAATTAATCCTAGATGTTTCTAGTTGGCGAGGAGGGATGTTTCTCTTCTTGTTTTCGTGCCACAGGAGGATCGTAGCCTGCCGAGTGATATTCAGGCAAATCTACTCAAACAATTTATGAAAGACTATGTCCACCTTCTCTGTTCTCTCCATTTGAAATGTTCTGTGGCCAAATTGCATGACGAGATAAATTCCAAATTGGCTTGTTTCTTTATGCTCTTCTTGCTGACGTTCTCAGCACTAAATAATCGGTCTTTGTGGATCCTTATTGTCACATTGAGAGAGCTTTTTCTTGAATTGTTTGTAGTTTTATAGGATGCAAAGTTGAAGGCTGTAAAGTACCGAGTGAGATGAATATTCCAGAGCCTGTTAAGACTAAACTGCTTTGTTTGTTTTTCTTTGCTGCTTTTTCCACGATTATACACATGATTGTGCCTCCAGGATAGATATGTTGAGTGAATGATGCAATTTATTTTCTTTTTTTTCTTGACCCTTTTGAAAGGCTTTACAATAGATCTCCCTATTCCATTTGAAGAAATAATTAATAAAATGGCAGCAAAAAAACCCCAAAATGAAGTTAAAAATGAGGCTACAGTATTTAGACTCCACTTTCAACTTAATGTTGATTCCTGTTCTTCATGAAGGAACCCTCTTCAGCACAGACTGTACATATCCTCGCTGTGCCACTGTTTGCTCTCATTAACTTCTCATTAGTGTCGATATAGTGATTATTGGTCAGTGCTCTCTTTTCTTTCACAACCTCAGTCTTTGTGTAATTCTGGACTGTTTTTATCTTTATGCTACTGTAAAAAATAAACATGTTTAAAAATGGTCTGGCTCTTTGTGTCCAAGGACATTGGTAAACAAGTACACAATTTTGCTCCTTGTCAGAACTGCTTTATTTGATGCAGTACATTTTCATTACAACTTCAGTATTGAATTTAGGATTTTATGAAAGTAATGTTCATGTTCTTTTATCAGTATATGAACAAATGGATACATTTGTACTATTATGGTTTACGTGCTTTGCAACTTCTGTGGAAACAGTGGCATACATTTTTTTTTTTTAAGTTTGATGCCCTCAATATCACTTTCCATCCAGTATACTTTTATATCACTTAAAAAACAGCATAAACATGTTGAATTCTGTGATGTTTTGTGATATAAGTTTAAAACTTTCCATCCTGATAATCAAAATTTTCAAAGGTAGCTAAACTTTAAATTAAGCAGTGACTCATTATAGCTCTTTGTTTCCATCCTTTTTGTCCTCTTGTCATTGTGTAAAGTTATAATTATGTGTTTGTGACTGGAGCATATGTCTGAAAGTCTGTCACACCCATTTATAGAAATTGCAACAAGCATATTGTTTTAAATGAAAAGGTTTAAAAGAGCTCAGAATGTATCGTATAATAAGAATGTTATAGTGATTCAAAATATGTTCACATGGTTGTGCACCTGTAAGCAAGAATGTAATAATAGTACTATGACAGTTATGGATCTCTATAGTTAACCTGAATTTGATTGATTCACGTAGTTAGAGCTGACAAAAATCACCAGATAGTGTATTCAGTTAACAACTATACACATGCTCAAACATACACGACTCCACATAACAATGAAAAGTCATTTATGCATTTGAAACCATTTTTTATTACCATTATCAAGTGATAAATTTCATGTGACAGGTGATTAATGGCTAGTTTCCCCAAAACAGATGCTAGAAGAGCTAGTTAAAGGTTAACAGTGTTGACATGAATTTTCCTGAACCATTACGAGATCCTTCCCTTTAAAGAGAAACCAACAATTCTACAAATGTAATGGAAACTCTTAGGATAAAAAGACACTTTCAGATAGCGTGATAATGACAATAATTTTCTTCCTCATCAATTGCTCCTAATGATAACAAATGACCATGAGGTTGATTTTAGCTAGCAGAACATTTAACTGAATCTACATGTAATAATCCAATCAGAAAGCATGCACAGCCCATGTGCTTTGCATCAGAGTCAGGACGGTTTGATGGATCAGTTAACACATATGCAATGCCCAAATTTACCAAGAGCGGGCACTGTATATTTCCCTTCCTATTCATAATTGACCAATTACATTTCTGTACAGTTTTTACATTTTCTGCCCTGGAATGTCCAGTTTGAAAATTTAGCAAGCAGAGCTAGAACAGGACAGGAGGAAGGTTAAGACCAAACTAAGGACCTCTATCCAGATAAATCTCACCTACAATGCTATCTCTCTCTTTCCTTAATTTTCACCCAGTTTGAGGCGGGCAAACTCATTGGCCAGCTGTAGAGCCTCCTGTATGCAGTGTGTGTTTCTACCCGTGGCCTGGGCAGACATGTCTTTACCACCTCCTTTTCCGTCCAGCAGAGGGCACACTTCCTGAACCCACTCACTGGCCTTCAGGCCTTGGTTTGCAACATCCTGGGAATACAATCAGAGCACATACATTGGTGAATTTAAATTGATACTTTACATATGCATTATTGTGTCTAGTACTATGTAAGTCAAAGTAATAATTTAACCAACAAAATATGGAATCTGAAACATTTTACTTCTGGAGGTTGGCTGTATAGCAAAGTTTTTCAGAGGAAAGGTGAGCTATTACTCATTGAAAAATACTTAATTCAATATTTCATCATTCAAACATTTAGGGTCAGTAATTTTTTTTTTTTTTTTTTTTTGAAAGAAGCCCCTTTATGCTCACCTAGGCTGCTTGTATTTGATAAAAAAAATGATATATATATATATATATATATATATATATATATATACAGTAACAGAGAAACATTGTAAAATATTACAATTGAAAAATATTTGTTTTCTGTTTTAATATATTTTAAAATTGTATTCCTGTGATGACAAAGAATAATTTTCAGCAGCCATTACTCCAGTCTTCAGTGTCACATGATCCTTCAGTATCATTGTAATATGCAGATTTTGTGCTGAATAAACATTTCTTTTCATCAATATTGAAAACCATTGTGCAGTTTAATATTTTTTGTGTAAACGGATCGTTTTTTTTCAGGATTCTTTAATGAATTTATAGTTCAAAAGAACAGCAATTATGTATGTAAAAGTCTTCGCTTTTGTTCAATTTAATGTGTCCTTGCAGATTCAAAGTATTATTTTTTTCACAACAAGAAAATCTTGTGTTTTAAAGTAGATCTGGTTAAATATTTTAAGAGAGCCCTCAGCCGTCTTACAGAATAAGGTCCTCTCTAACACATTTACCTGAGGCACTTGGCACAAGCAGATAATTTTCCCCACATCGTTGTCCACAGCAAAAAGCATAGCAGCAGTCTGTGGTGAATTTGTCTTCAGCAGCTTCAGAGACTCATTCAAAGCCTGTGGACGCACAGACAAATCATTAAGACTTTCACTGCAGACAAGAACAAAATTCAGTTCAAGTATAGACTCGTAATTTTGAAAAGACAATGAGAGAGTTACCTTTGCAGATGCCCCATTCTCCATCTCCATCACAATTAGAGGTTGGTTTGGGTTAGTTTCGATGATCTCCTTTGTCTTTTCCAGGACCTAAAATTTAAATATAATGTGTTCACAGTTGGTCTTTGACTTTCCAAGAACCTCAGTGACTAACTATCAGACAACAGAATCATATTCTCTTACCCTCTTCTGTACATCAGCCTTGCTGGCACGGTCCAGGTCATCCATGATCTTCTTAAGACCTTTCAGGGAATCCCTCATTTCATCCTTCCGCCACTGAGAGGTGACTGCAGTGCCCAGGGCCTGAATATACATGCATACACTGATCAAGTTATACATCGATGGGTAAAAATCAGACACACCACTGATTCTAGACAGGTGAGAGCAGAATGTGTCGGAGCGGAGCTCACCTCTGTCATATCAGCAATCTCCTTCTGAATATCTTTATTAGGGGAGGTCTGAGCTTTCACTTTCTCTGCCATTGCATCTAGTTCTTGCTTCAGTGCATCAGCTTTCCTCTGGGCCTGACAACACAAACATCAATCTGTCAAGAACTATTAGAAATGGGAATCTAGGAACTTCCTAAATGATTTACCCACCAATAATTCCTAAAATACTGCACTAAAAAAAGTATCTTCAAAAGAAAAAAACACTGTTCTGAATGTGTATTTACATGTTGTTACATGAATGATCAGTTAGTAATTACACTGAATTAGCTCT